CCGTACATGTTCTCTGCTCCCTTTGTTGCAGAGTTGTGACGCTGATTCCGAGTAGGGAGTGGTTGCAAACAAAGAGAACGAGACGGAATTTGATGGTGCAGATAAAGCACCAAAAAAGAGTGGCAAGAAGTCAACAGTTCGTCCGCCATACCGAGAACAGTTCCTTTTCTCATTCTGAGACCATGAGATCCCGAATGAGCGCCAGATCCTCCCAGGTAACATCACTGTTGATACTAAAATAGGAGAAATACGAGGAAAGTGGATGTGCCCAACACCGGGTCCATGTGGAAGCGAATACTGTTTTGTGCACCCGCTCGATCCGGAGCATTTACATCTTACACATGCACATCAGCACAGTTGGGTTTCTGCTATGGTGAACATTTGGCTACCTCAGTTTGACAAAAACTTACACTCTGTTTATAGTTGAAAGGACCCGAATTTGCGACCATTGACAAGCCACCGAATAATCACCTCTTTGATCGACTCAAACCTGTTCGTCTCGGGGCCCAGTCACCACTGCTCCAGCGACGTCTCGACGCCCAAGTCAAAACCGCGGCTAATAATGCCGGCCCTCAAATCAATATCAACTTCCCGGCTGACCTTGCTGCTGTACTTCGTCCCGTTGCTGCTCCGCAAGCTCCTGCAGTACCCCTAACTCTTCCTACAATGTTTATTCCACCATCACTTGTTCCTGGACTTGATCTTTCCATCGACGACTTCTGCACCACATATAATCTAGGTCCCGACATTCTCAACCGTTTCAAAGAGCACAAAATCGAACGAACCGATGCATTCGAGTATATTGAGTTGGCAGAGTTGAAGATAATAAAATTTGCGATTGGGGAAATTGCGCGGTTGAAGGTAGCGATTGCTGCTTGGGGAAAAGCACCACCAGCAGAGCTCTAGTTGTACTCATATTCACATGTGTTCCCATTCTGTGTATGTTATCCTGACGAATTTCTGATGCATTTGGCTCGTCTTTTGGACTTGTGGAGTAGCTGGACCATGTCAGACAGAGATTACATTCATGCCATGTACAATAAAGCGAAGATTTCAACAATGGAAGTAAGAGGAATCCGATTCCTCATCACATGATCAATTTCGCGAAGATCTGGCAATATTTACAACATCTACTTGAGTTGAAAACATTGTTTTGTGCATGCACCCAAGACATACAGATCTCAACTAATAATACCCAGCATGAATGAAGTACCCCAGCGCATCCGACTCCGTGACAATGTGCATTGCCTCCCACATGTCATAGATGAGCCCATGTGGTTCCGCATCGTCACCGTAGTTGAACAGATCATTGTTGCGGCAAATCCATGCCTTTATTTGAGAAAAGGCCTCTTCGATAGGGTTGAAGTCTGGAGAGTAAGGAGGTAGATACAAGATACGGACACCTACACAGTCTGAGCGTCTTGCGGAAAGTTGAAAACAGGAACTCACCAAAACGATCACAAAGGTCAATAATCTCGTCTCCGTGGTGGATTCTGGCATTATCCATAACAAGTACACTGAGTGGCCCGGGATATGGAGAGCATAGTGGCAACTACAAGAAATTCATCATAAGTTGAGTCCCAAAACAAAGCAGGAACTCACCACTTCGTGTTCGATAAAGTCTAGGTATTGAACACGATGCATAGAGCCTTCGACAATGCAACACACCATCATCCCTCGCGTGGTCAACAGTCCTGTACCAGTCATACGGCACCCTCGAACTACCTTGTGCCTCTTTACTGCACGCCTTCCCTTCTTCGCGCGTCCGCGAGGCCGCCCAGGTGTTTTGTCATTTTTTGATGTCTCGTCTAGAAAACCAAGGTAGTCCGCTGGGTACTGAGAGACCTCCCGCACAAAATCATGCCGGGTTGGCTCACTCCTCTCTTCGGCTATGAATTTGAGCTGCTTGAGAGACATCCCAGCCCGTACAAGCTCATTGTGAATAGTGGTGTAGTGCACGGAGATAAAATGATTGTGCCGGAGTAGCTCCAAGAGTTCGTCCAGAAACCAGTCAGGGGAGTGGCGCACAAGACGTAGTAAATAGTCAATGTCATCATAATGGAGGAGTCGGGGACGGCCACGGGGTGTAGTGCGTTTAACAACGTCACCAGTGGTCCTCCAGAGATGTAGGATACGGAAGAACGTCCGCCGAGAGAACCCGACACAGTCTAGGATTTCGCTGAGCGTGAGTTGATTTTGTTGATACAAATTGAGAGCTGCAATCTTCACATCCCGACTGATTCGACGATTGCCCATACTGTGCGAAGAAAGGCTGGAAAGAGGAGAAAGGTCACCTTCAATGTGGATTTCAAGGTGGAATAGAATCGCGACGCACTGATAAGGAAATGTGTATAGAATGCGTGAAAAGAAAAGTGCAAGACTGCAGTGTCACTGCTGCAAGGATATCGGTCTACGAGTTGGCGGTACTGGCCCAATCGAAGAGTATGGTTGGAGTGCGGGGCAGAAACACTTTCAAATGCACCCACCTGGAGCAAAATCGGGCAAGAAATGGGCTCTGAAGAAGCCGGCCAAGATTGGTGCTGAGGCGACCAGCAGCCGGAATAGGTCGATTTTCTAACCGTAAAATTAGGTTCTGGGACAACGCTGGGTGGAAAGAGCCGCCAAAACGCAGCAGAACGCACCTAAAATCGAGTGATTCTGTCAAGAAATGAGCGCAAAATGGACGTGGCAAGAAGGGAGAATCAAATTTGCTCTTATTTGGAAAATTTTGATGAGTGCCATTACATCTGCAAACAGCTGTAAGGTGGCCTGAAACTTATTGTTTCCGGGAATCCCCAGAAACCTTAAGTGTCGGCAGTACATAATCTGCGCCTGAAACTCATAGTTTCAGTTGCAGTTTCCCTGTGCCAGAAACTCATAGTTTCTGTAACGTTTCCAGCCGGCCAGGTAAGTATTCTTTCCCCGTGTGAGAGGTGAGATGGGTGCAAAAAAAGTCAAAAAGATCCTTCTTGCCTGGTTTGAACAGGCGACCGAGTGCGAGCATGGCGAGCACATAGCGTGCATAGTGTGCATAGCGTGCATAGCACGCATAGCACACATAGCACTAGCCATGGCGCTACTAGAACCATATGCGTGCAACACCCCTGCCCACCATCACTATCCCTCGCTTGGACCGTCATCGCCATTTTACCGCCACCATCAGCTCGGTCACGGGCCGCACGTCCCCTTCGACCCCCGCCTCTCAACGTCCTGGCCGCGTCTCCCGCCCCTGTTGTTCCTTATCTGCCATGCCTGTTTGCCGCCATTAGGTCGTTCTGCCCGCTGTCAGCGCATATCCTCCCATCACAAATGTGCAAAACAACTTTCGACAGCCTGTCAGGGGAACCCCTATTTTCCGGCCCTTCCGCTCCCGCATCCAGACCTTCCGGTCCTGTTCCGACCCGTTCCGGCTCCTCCCGATATCACATGGCCTGTGATTCCGCCCAGGACCTCTGCCGATCACTCCGGTTGCTATCACATGCCCCCCGTCCGTAGTTACTTATATACCGGGATCTGACGCAGGTGATCCTTAGTCTTTCTTCTCTTCGGATCCCCCTCGTCAGGACTCTTGAGTATACTCGGGCCTTGAGGTTGCCCTTACACAGCCAAGCGAGCTGTGCAAGCGAGCATGGCGAGCACTTTGAAGGGAGCCGTGCGACCGACTGCCAAGTGAGCACAGCTCGAGACTCCGGCCAACTTCGCTCGAACGGCTGCACCGAGCTAGTCTATTTTTTTCTAAATGACCACGTGATTATGTATCAAGGCAAGACACACACATTGTGCAGTAGCGCAAGGCCCCTGAGGGAGCTGTGCGACCGAGTGCGAGCATAGCACGCACAGCACCCCTCTCCAGGGAGCCGTGCGAGTGAGCATTGCGAGCACATAGCGTGCATAGTGGGTACTACTAGGACCATATGCGCGCATAGTGCGCAACACCCCCGCCCGCAACACCACGACCCTCGCTGGGTGCACCCATCGATCATCCCCTCTGGCGGCCTGTCATGCCACCATCTTGTCTGACCTCATGTGTCCAACCACCTGTCGCAGTCCGCTTCATTTCTGACAACATCGCTGCCATCACCCGGTGACCACTACGGCTTTGCTTTCTTGTGGCAAGTCCACAACACGAACTTCATGCCAGCTTATGGCAAGCAAGACGCGGACCACTGCAACATGCAAATACTACAGTGCCTTATGGTGTTTGCGAGGAAGTTGTTTGGCTCAAATGACCACATGCTAGGACCATAGGCGTGCACAGCGCGCCCCTCAAGGGAAGTCTCCTGCACTCTCTTTTCTTTGCGATAGATAATGACTGTGTTGCGAGGTAGTTTGCGACTCCTCCCACACCGAGCTGCAGGCGAGCCTCAACACAAACCACCCTGCGAACTGCATGTCATCGTGCCACACAACACCATGCCTTATTGTACGGACACTGGCAACATTGCCCACTGTTGACCGCAAAGCAGGGCCCAAGCACGGCAGCGCAAGGCCCAGACTGTGTACCGCAAAGCGGGTTCACCCGACGAGGGAGCTGTGCGACCCAGTGTCTGAGTGCGGAGCGCGAGGCCCACAGTTTCCCACGGAGTGGCAGGGCGAGGGAGTTGTGTGACCAATTGCGTGACTAGGGCCTGCACTGTGTCCCGCCGTGCCGCACCTTGTACGACATTCAAATTCGTACAAGAACAAATACAGTTATTTGTGTCTGTTTGGTGTGGTTGGCCCAGCGCACCCCAGGACTGTTTACCGTCACATTATATGATTCCCAATTTTGGAACCATACTGGAGGTGTGCACTCAGTATGCCAACGTTTGTGAGCCCGAGAAATCTTTGCCTTGCGCTAGAGCCGATTCTTGGCAAGGCATGGCCTTTCTGGCCAAATGCACGAGGCGCGGGCTGGACTGCAAGACAAGGTGAACACGATTTTGCAGCACATGGTGGCTGCAATGTTTTTTTTCCGAATATTCCTATAATATCAGTACATAAAAACGATGTTCTTCCATCCGACTTTAGCTCAGTTGGAAGAGCATCAGACTGTAATCGGTAAAGTCGCAAAGTACCTGAGGGTCACTGGTTTGATCCCAGTAAGTTGGATCCCTTTTTGGTCAACTCAACGCTTCTTTTTACCTAAAACAGACTTGACTATGGACCACCATGTTCGTCCTTCCTCGCAGCCTTTGCCCATTGTTCTCACAACATTTCCTAGCCCTTCACTGTTACCGTCCACCAAACCCAGCTGGTTCTGTTGTTGTATCCACTTCTCATTACAACCTGCAAAGACACATTGCAAATGATTCCATCGCACCTGCTGCAGTTCACCAGTTATTGAACCACCGCTGAAGTTGCATGTAGTAGAAAGTAGAAGCAATTAAAATGAGGCACGGCTCGGCTGTTGTCCTGATATGATGTCACCATATCTTTCCGTCCTCTTTCACCAGTCGCCTTGCTCAACTGTCTATGCTGCCTCTCGTCTGCAACCCTCGAAGGTCCCTCGATCAATCCTTCCGTCTGCTGCTCTTTTGGCCGCCGCCCGTCTGCCCACTTTGCGCCCCTAATCAGCGATCGGCCCATGCAAACTTGGGGCCCTCTTGCGCCCACGATTGGCCCATGCAAACTTGGGGCCCTCCCGCACCCATGATCGACCCATGCAAAGTTGGGGCATGCTTTCAGTCTCTAATGGAACCAGTCTGGTCCTGTCCTCATCGTGGTCCTTAACCATCAGGTCTGACCGTTTGTTACATGTACTTGTATGGTTTTTTTTTGCGACATGACATGTTTTTCTTGCCACTTTTCTTGCCTTGCGCGTGTGCACCATCAACTTCCTTGTTCCTTTTTTCGGGCCAACTGTGCATATTGCTTTGACTGATTGTGATGCCTACTTAATATATTTCATTAGACACGGCCGGGCCTTTTACTTCTCTTATTTACTTTACTTGGCTTATCATTATCTACATCTAGGCGCCCGATAAGCACCTTAGTTCACGTGTACATATTACATAATGCATCTAACTTTACTCTGCTCTGAACTACCGTTCTGGCGTGAACAAAGCAACTGAGGGAATCCCTCTCCAGACCCACAAATGCCTGAACATGCATATAACTGTTCCCTCAGCTATTCCAGGTCACAGAGGCCCCTGTCTAGGGTCACAAGTCCCCTATCCTAGGGTTACAAGGATTCCCTACCCCTCTCCAGCTCGCGTCTGGTGCCAATCCAGGCAGCCTCTAACGCGAGCTCCCATTTCAGTCACAGAGAAGCTCCGTGAACCATGTCGCATCACACTGATACACCACCATGACCACATGACCCTGCCTGAATCTTGTTGCAGCAGCCCACCCCTTATACTTCTCATAGCTACACATAATCCTTTGCTTGAAATCTCATATCTATGATACATCACCCCTCCAATATGCACTGCGTTCATCGTGCGTGCATTTCACCTGCTCAAATTTCTTCGCCTTCTCAACCTCTACCTTCTGGATAGTGATGTGGATCCCCCGGGATATAGAAGTCTGTGAAGACGAGTGTGAAGGCAAAACTGTTCCATGGAGATGACGAGGATTAAAGAACCTGTGACCGAGTTAGACAAGAAGCGACTCGATTGAATGAACCCACCACAAGCAATTGACTTCAGTAACAATTAAACGTCCCCATTCTGCATATGCAAAATTGTATTCGTCTCTGCTTCCCGTCTTCCACAACTGACATGCAATCGACCATGCATCATCATGGTCTTCATGCAGCAGAGACACATATTCCCAACAATAAAACAATGTCATACCAGTTCTGCCCATTCGGTTGAGAAATGATACTTTGTAGGAGCAAAAATCCGCAAAGTTTCAAGTAATGTATCCGTATCCTGCATGGCCATCAGCTCAGCATACAAAAAAAAAGGATAATTCTGACCCAGGCTGTATTGAACAGGGCTGATATTGTTTCAGGGGTGTCCACACTCATATGAGCATATGGCCCATACCCGCCAGGTCTACCACCGAGAGGAACACGGTGGCCAAGAATTTGCAAGTCACCGCTGACTTGGTTTATAGGACTACGACGTGAGGTGTTGGCCCAGGTCGCAACATCTGTGTGGTGGTCTCACAATTCGCCAAGAAGTTCTTGAGTCCAGGGCTTGAATTTGACCCCACCGACCTGTAGAAATAAATTACTGACTGGATAATTCAATACAGAAGACGACAAACCAGGTCAGATGTCGCCTTGTCTTTGAAGATCACCTCGTCGCGCTTACAGTCCTTCAGCACATCTGGTCGATGTTCAATAATTAGAAAGTCACTGTCCGCGGGTGCAACAAAGCCACTGTGTTTGACCTAACAAAAAATGTCAGATACCTCCGGGCGGATTTAACAAAACAAACTGTGTCAGCTGGCTTGAAATAGTCATGAGGAGGGGCACAGGTGAATAATGCTCGATTGAGCTGCTCACGCTTCTCGGCTGTGCATCGCGAGACCTCGATAATCCGCCGACATTTTTGCAACTCGGGCCGGTCATTGCATGTCGGACAATAATAGCCAGACCTTTTCTTTTCAACTTCGTCATAGGATAGACAGATTTGTCGAGTACTCCACGGAGTCGGCGTTGCTAGCAGTGGATTCTTAATGAAGTTGGGTCACTCAAGACACTTTATTCACCTTTTGGCTTGGCAATTTTTCCACGCACAATGTCCTGAACCCGCTTTTGATGTGTCCGCTCAGCTTTTGCCTCCTGAAGAACATGCAAAGCTGTCTCCCAGCCTGGAAGAGAGCAGTCGAGAATGGATGGGCTGACGTCCTGTTGGCGCTCATACTCACAATGAATCTTGGATCACACATGATCGTGAAAAATTGAGCCGCTGGAAATCTTTTCTGTTCTGGAACATATCAGTGTATCTGTGCGAAGATGCAGCTTGAACTTATTGAGCCGTAGACTGGCTGTTGATAGGGCCGAACAAACACATGGCCTGGTGTCCAGTTGTACAAGATGTCTCCGAGGAAGGAGCACCAGTGATACTGAGCGTCGGAAAGCAGGATGTGCGGAATGGTGAGCTCTCGTTGGGTATGGATATTGTTGATGATTTCCAGCGTTGCAGCCAGTTGGCTGTCCTATTTTATTTGATTAGCGTGGTCAACACATTTGTATGACAACATACCTTGACAGCCTCCCGAAATAGAGCCTGCTGGTAGACTTTCTCCAGAACTTTGCGCATGTCCTGTAGCGACTTGACAACACTACCGAGATTGGGCTTGGACTGCGCCTAAGAAATATCATCAAGATTTGCACAAAATTAGTGAGGATTTTGTACGCTTGGATCATCAATACAAAAATATTTTTGAAAGGACTGGTTCCATCTTGAACAAGCCTTGATGTGCCCATTTTTTACTCCGGCAGCGATCAGCGGCTCGACATTGACAGTGGACTCTGTCCAGTCCTCTTCAGATGCAAAACCACCATGTGTAGCAAACACATTGAGCTCAGGCCCACACAGATCCTAGTCAGACATTGAGAGACGTTCATTGACATGGGGTATGACTCACCTTGTAAGCTACAATCTGGCCGCGCAACAAGGTCTGGTATGCCTCATCATGCAACCTTTGATGTTGTAGCCATAGGACCTCCACAAAGAGAGTGGCGCCCTTTTTCCGCTCCATGTTCAGAGTGATGCAGTGGTGCAGCCACTCAAACATGCATTGACACCAGGCATCATCAGCAAGGAGCTCTTTGATGAGCTCATTTTTCCAGGCGAGTGAGCGATCATGGGCGTGATGTTTATTGAACTCGGCCTGAATCGGAGCATGACTGATCAGCTTGTAGTCCTCCTCAGAGAGACAAGGTTCTGGTTGGCGCAACATTGCTGACAAAGCAGATTATTATATTGCAATGTAAGATACAACGACGACAATGTCGGTCGGCACACAAGGGCACGGCATGATGAGCGCAGCGTGATGACGACAGAATGCACTGCACTCACACAACCCAAACAACAAAAGCACATAGGTCCTGGGCGCAGACAGGCCAGCAAAGATGTGGGTGCCGTCGACAAATGTGTGGCACTTGAAGCAGAGGGAGCAATGGGTAACGAGCGACGGGGAGCGACGAGGAATGGTGGTGGTAAGAGCAAAGAAACACGGAGACTTGACACGTGCTGTACAGTCTCCGTGTTCCGTTCCGCCAGCCCCCATCATATCAGAGATGAGTTGGGGACGTCCTCCCTCATCCTCACACTGCAAGCAGCTCACAACGTCCGACTCGCACCCACACAAACACACGCACAGTCTGTGCCAGATGCCCCAACTCCCTTTGCGCCCATTCCGCCTGCTCGCTTTCAGGAGCACACCAGAACGACCTTTGCCGCGACTGAATGCACGCAAAGGTGTGTCATGTGCACTCCCTCCATGTGTACATACCCTGCTCACTAATCCTCCCTCTCCTCTCCTTCATTCAGCCCGTCTTGTTCCCCGTGGCGCCAAAACCAATACCACACACGTAACGCCGCAGCACAGCGCCGGGAGAGACTGCGTGCAAGGTACGCTGTCGCCACCTCTGTCCCTCCCCCCCGCCGCATCTCCCGCATCTCCCACTAATCTCGTCATACCTACATACCCCCGCCCGGTGTCGATTGTCCGTATGCCCGTGCGGCAGAAGGCGAGGCGAGCATCTCGTGCCCATATCAGTCCGAAGCTGACTATTCACCCACTCGAGTCGATTTGGTACCGGTACAAGTCGTGTGTCGTGTTGTGTCAACCTCATCGCAGCTGCGTCGGTGCTGGTCGGTGCCGGTGCTGGGACGTGATCATGTGTCCGTGCATGCAAGGTCATGTCGCGTTGCATTGATTCCAGTGCCGCCCTGCACGTGCACTCACGACCGACCACTGCAACATGTCCCAAATACCAGCCAAGTCCAGAGTACAATAGGTTGTGTTCCATCCATGAAGAGGAACGGGTGGGTGTGCAGAACCAGTCGGAATGGGCATGTTTTTGGAATAGCCGTGTGCAAAGTGCCGTGAAATGAGATGCAAGCGGAAGGTTGGTATGGGAGCCGGAGCTGTAAGATATATCAAAAAAGCTGTGGCCGTAGCCAGGTGACCCAGATCGCAACCGTCGT